GGCCGGAAGCGGCCACTGCACTCCAGTCTGGGCGACAGAGTGAGACTCCAACTCAACAACGACAACAACAACAACAAAACAGGAAATAACAAGTATTATGGAGGATGTTGGAACTCTTGTGCGCTGCTGATGGAAATATGAATGGTACAGTCGCCATGGTCAACAGTATGGAGACTCCTCAAAAAATTAAACAGAATCACCTGCTGGGTGCAGTGGCTTATGTTTATAATCCCAGCAATTTAGGAGGCTGAGGTGAGAGGATCACTTGAGCCCAGGAGTTCAAGGGCAACATAATTGAGACCTGTTCTCTACAAAGAAAAAAAAAATAGCCTGGTGTGATGGAGCATGCTTGTAGTTCCAGCTACTCGGGAGGCTAAGTACAAGGATCACCTGGGCCCAGGAAGTCGAGGCTGCGGTGGCCTTGAGTATGCCACTGTACTCCAGCCTGAGTGACAGAGTGAGACCCCCGACTCAAAAAAAAAAATACACACACACACACACACACACACACACACACACACACACACACACAATTACCATATGATGCAATAGTCCCACTTCTAGGACTATTCTAGGACTATAACCTAAATAAATGAAAACAGTATCTCAGAAATATTTGCATACCCATGTTCATCAAAGCATTATTCACAATAGCCAAGAGGTGAACGCATCTGTCCACCAACCAATGAAGATGTGATACATACAATGGAATACAATTCACCTTACAAATGAAGGCCTGTCAAATGCTTTCCTGAACATGCTCCGTGAAATAAGCCAGTCTCAGACAGACATATATTGCCCGATTCCACTTAAATGAGGTATCCAGAGTAGTCAAATTCATTGCAACAGGAAGTAGAACAGTGGTTGCCAGGGGCAGGGGGAGAAAGGAGAGGGTAGGGCTGCTCAAAGGCTACAGGGCTTTAATTCTGCAAGATGAAACAGTTCTGCAGACTGGTCACACAGCAACAGGACTGCACGCAACACTGCTAACTGTACACTTCGACATGGTTGAGGTGATACACAGTGGGTGCCAAAAAAATACACATTTTAAGAAAGGAAAAAACAGTATTAAAATTGTAATACTCAGTAAGATGAATACAAGTCACAGTTGACTTCTGCAATTACAAGAGGTGCTCAAAGCGGTTACCATCAGCATCCAGACACTTCTGATACTGCAAACATCTCTTAAAATATGTGTACATTTTGGGGGGTCACCCCTGCTGTTTTATGTGATTTTTTTTACCACACACAAAAGAAAGGTTTTGCCAAGTCTCCACAATTTGTATTTTGTTAAAGTTCTACACATAAACAAGACTGAATTTGGCAGCAGTGGTGGCAGGGTGGGTAACAGCACAAATGGCCTGGTCCGAGCTCCCTCCTGGAGCTGCTGTGTGTGGGAGGGCTGGGCACCCCCTGCCGGTCTGCAGCTCAGCCCTGCCCTGCTTCTCTCCCCCCCCCTTGGAATAGATGCTGTGGCCACAAGGGCAAAGGAGGACAGAGGACCTAACTCCCCCACCGCCTTTTTTTTTTTAGGTTAAAGAAAATAGCTCCTGTAATCCCAGCACTTTGGGAGACCGAGGCGAGAGGATTGCCAGAGTTCAAGGCCAACCCCGGCAACTTGGTGAGAGACCTCGTCTCTACAATAAATCAAAAAATTAGAGAGGGTGGTAGCGCAGGCCTGTGATTCCAGCTCCTTGGAAGGCTGAGGCGGAAGGACCGCCTGAGCCCAGCAGGTCGAGGCTGTGGTGGTCGTGAGCCTGCCACTGCACTCCAGCCTGGCGACAGAGTGAGACGCCTACTCAAAAGAAAAAAAAAACAAAAACAAGTCGTACTCGGTGGCTCAGCCTGTAATCCCGCGCTTGGGGAGGCCGGGGTGAGCGGACTGCCTGAGCCCGCGGGTTCCAGACCCGCCTGGGCAACTTGGCGAGACCTCATCCCTACAATAAATCAAAAAATCAGCCGGGCGTGGTAGCGCGCGCCTGTAATTCCAGCTACTCGGAAGGCTGAGGCGGAAGGATCGCCGGAGCCCAGCGGGTCGAGGCTGCGGTGGCCGGGAGCGGCCACTGCACTCCGGTCTGGGCGACAGAGTCAGACTCCAACTCAAATAAGTAAACAACCAAACAAACAAATAAATAAAAATAAAAAACAAATAAAAGATGGCAACAAAAGCGTACAGTATCCCAATAAGCACTCTTGGTGCTCACCTTTCGCCACTTTCATAGACTAGAAAGCACACATGACCAGCTAAGTGAAGAGTCCCCTCTGGCCCCGGCCCCAGTCCCAGGGTCCCTCTTTCTATTTTCCCCACAAATGTTCACTTTTACCTGCTTTGTCTCTCCCTTTGCTTTACTAAATGGCACGTGTCGTCCCCTCTTGTTTGATCACAGGCGCCTCCGCGTTCTATCTACGCGGATAACCAGCCAGTCCCCTACATCGGGACCGTTTTCCTGTAGTCGCGGCCCGCGGATCCACGGTGCGGGCAGGCCATCCGACTCCCCCATTCGGGCCGCCTCCGGTCGCCCCTCTCGCTAGCGGGGTCCCCAGGAACGCCCCGGGGCCGTCTCCTCGTGTGCCCATGTCGGTCCCTCCGAGGCAGGGCCGTCCAGCCTGCACAGAGCGTCACTCCGAGTCCACTCTGCCGGGGCTGCAGAGGAAGGGTCGGCGCGGGCAGGTCACCCCCGGGCGCCCCGGAACCTGGCCCAGCCCTCGGGGCGCCCCGCATCTTCCTCCAGGCGCCAGCCCGGACTCCACCGGCCTGGCTCGCGCTCTGGCGCCCCCGCGCGCTCTGCCCACCCGGACCCAAGCGACTCCGCCAAGGTTACACGGCCGGGCC